AGTACAGGATAACTCCTGAGACCACCCCTGGTCAATCTCCAGCAGAACTGCTACTGGGGAGAAGGTAATGTACTATAATTGATTTAATTCATTTGGACCTATCTCAAAAATTCATGCCAAACGGGACAATACCATATCATGTGAAGCTGTTCGATCATTTCAAATTGGTGGCAATTTATTTCCTAAGAATTTTTTAAGATGCCCTCAATGGCTTCCAGTAGTTAATTACTGGTCCTTTGTCATAGTGAGTAGAAACCGCAGTAGGAATTGTAGTGAAGAGACCAATTACTGAGTCACGTAGTCAATGTATTATTATAGACAATGTTCATAGAGATTCTGATGATGAGCTTGATGAATGTGATCATTTTTTGATGACTTTCGCCTCCACCGTTACACCATCCAGTTCCGATATGAAGGAGCTACATCTCTTCATCATTTGTCTCGTCCAAAGACTCAAAGTGACTGCGGACCGCATGTTTGCTAAACTAAAGGGAAGGGTTGTGATAAATTGTGCATTACTTTTATGAATGTTCTAGGATTAATATTATGAGTACTGTTAATACTTTTACTATCATTATTATTTTTATTATAAAAACATAATACTATTCTAGGCCATGGTTACATTTCCAGTTGCAAAGGTCAAGAAGGACCAACAGAAAACAATACTACCTACCCTTCTAAAGTCGGATCTATTTGATGAGGAAAAGACACCATAAAGGAAGCTATGGCTAAGCGAGCAGTTGTAGCGAAGCATCTGCTACTAGTATGTAAGCTAGTTTCTCACAAGAGCCAAGGAGCTCACCAGCAGGTTCTTGAGTATGCTACAACAGAATTGACTAAGTTATTTATGAAGGCATACCTTTCAGAAGGAGCCACATTAGCAGTCCTCCTTCCACAGTTCCTTGCAGGTCTAAACCCAGCCATCTGTCAGCAGGTCATATTAACCCTTTAGCACCAAAATTAATTTTTTAAAAATGTCTTGGTAGTACTAGTTTAGCAATGCATATCTCTCAGGATTTTGTCCTGCGAGACTTGAAACTTGCTAGTAGAGTTACACCGATGCAAAAAATTACCGATTATTTCGATACCAATTATTTACACATATTTTATACAGATACCGATACTGATACTGATACAATGGTGTTTAAATTATTAAATCATTACTTTTTACTAATAAACAGGGAAAAGTAAAAAAACCTTTGATTACATTAAATGACAAACCAATGCATAGAAAATGACTAATAAGAATAATCAACAAGCTTTAAATTGCAGTGTAGAAATAAAAGTTTATCTAGTTTATCAGGTGACAGATGATTCCAAGAATCTGTTAGACTATACCCAGCAGCACTAAACAATCTCTCTGAAGCTATTGTAGATGCTGGGCAAGTCAGATATCGAAGTGCTAATGAAGCAAGAATGGGACGTGCGTCCTTGTGCTTTTTCCAATACAACAAGGGATTAGATTTTCGTGGTTCATTTGCTCCATTCAAATATGCTTCAACTATTGCAATAATGTCTTCCACAGAATCACACTCCTCCTGAGCTACTTCATCCATTATTATGTCACAATAACTCCTAAGAAGAGAGCTCTCTTCTGTCTCCTCTCCATTATCGCTTTCAACTCTTGGTCATTTGGAAGA